GAATATTGAATTGAATATTGAATTTAATTAAATTACATTAAAATTACAACATTTAAATTAATATTAAATGCAAAGGAATATCGAGAAACGAGTATGTAGCATTGAATCTTATTCTTCTTCCGAAAGCGTAAGAACTAAAATGTTTTCGAAAGAAAAATTATGGCAAGAATTTCCGGTTTATTTAAAAATATTTTTTTACAAAACATTTTATGATCAATTTTTTTAATTTTTTCACACTAAGTGTTGTATATTCAACATAATATGTACTTTGCTTTAATTATTAAATAATTAAGAATAATTATATTTTTGGAAAATATAAATATCTTCAACTTTTAATATTTAATAATTTTAATATTTAATTAAGAAATTTATAAATATAATTTAAAAAAAAATTCTTTTGAATTTATGTTCATAAAATTTAATTTATGTTCATTTTTCAAATTTTTAAAATTTCATTTTCCACAAATGAATTTTAAGTTAATTCTGATTTAGAAGCAATTTATAATCGAAAAAAATAAAAAACCAATTTAATTTGAATCCATTTGTTAATTGCAAATGTTTACGATGCTTTTGCAATTAAATATTGTTCGCGCCCGCAACAATAGTAATAGTTTAATGGACATAAGCTAATAGTTGAATGCTTGTCTAATGCCTTTCGACAGATGTAACAAGTGATATACTTCTTAAGAATGAGTGAATAACTTATAAGTAACTTATACATACATAAGTTACTCGTGCGGAGTGCGATGTCTATGTCTATTAGAAAGTAGAGTCTCACAATTTTGCAGCAGGTCATCTTGTCCGACAATCAGAGCACAATGTAGTGTTAAAAGAAAACTAATCATATAATAAAATCATATAATCATATTCGGCGATCAGACTACGATGTGTTCACAATGAGACCTTCTTAGCAAGCAATGATAGATAATCGTGTCCGGCAGTCAGAACACAATTCACAAACTATCTGTTTTTTAAAAATTAAATTTCATTAAATCTCTAAAATCATATGAGCTTAAAACCAGAAAAAAATAATTTTATTTAATTAGCTCATATTATTCGAACCACTATGCAATGGAAAGATCATGATTTCTTCGGGATTAAAAAAATATATATACGAATATAAATTTTTCATAAAAATTCCCACGATAATTAATAAAGATTTAAAATATGAAAAAACATCATCAGTTCTCTTTATTTATTTATTCAAGATATCATATCCATATAATAATTTCTCTTTTAAAGCAAAATAACGACGGATTAATTATTCAACTATTGTTGTGAATTACAATTATATATATTTCATTTAAATAAAAAATCTTTTTACCAGAAATAATACATTATATTATACATATTATATTATAAATTCTTATATTATATTAGAAAAATTTATTTTCTCTAATATATTTTTTTTATATAATAAAATATAAGTCCATAATTTATTCGATTATTTATTTATTATTATTATATTTGTCTAAAAATTTAAAGAATAATTTTTTAAAGTAAGACGAAAATTAAAAATAAGAAAGATTTTTATGTTCTGTTTTTTTAGTGACAATGTCTGAACGAATGTGAAATGGTTTAAACATGCATAATGGTTTTCAAATCTAAAAATATATATTTTGTCGAAATATATATATGTCGAAAAGAAACTTTTAAAATATTAAAAACTATAATTTAAAGATTATGTTTTCTATTGTGTTTGAACTATCTTATATCTATTTATATAAAAAATTGGTTTATGTTTAGAGATATTTTTATCAATTTTTAAATATTAAAAATTAAAAAACTGAAAATATATTTTTTTTATTTTTGTGTTTTTTTGAAAAATCATCTCTTACATTTTTTTTTAGTAAAAGTTTTACATTTTATAAGCAATGAATTTTCTGAATTTTTATTGAGTTTGTATAATAAAAATCAAAAATATTTTGAAAATATTTGTTTGTTCACATTAATTGTATAAAAATTGCAATTAAAAGTATAATATTTTTTTTCATTTAATAATAAAATTTAAAACCTTTGATTAAATTTAATTAAAAAATAATGGAAGAAATATGATTAAATATGAATAAATGACACATATTTTTTTTTATTTTGTTCTGAAAATTTATGTATTAATTATAATTATTTTAAGATTATTAAATTTAATAGTATTAAATCTTATTTTGAGAATATGATTTTTATAATGATTTTATATGATTTTTGTAATATTATAATATATCAATATTATTAAATTATAGAAAATATTTGGATTTCATTCAACTCAAGAAATGGAGTATTAGTTATAAGGTAAAAAATGAAATAAATAAATAAATAATTAAAAATTTGAAATTATAAGAAAATATATTTTTTATAAAAATTGTTATATAAAGAAATTGGATAATATTAATGAACGATTTTTTTTATAAAAAAAAATATAGAGATAAAAATCAATTTTTTATTTTTTTTAAATCATTATACAATATTTCAATATTGTATAATTACATAATATACATTATCAATAACTGATCATTTTCTACAAAAAGAATATTATGTTTGTTGAAATATATAAAATCAGTTGGATTTATAATATAAAATAAAATAGTAAATATTTCTGAATTTTACATTTTCACATATTTCATATTGATTTTTTTTATTTATTTATTCATTTATTTATTATTTATTTATTTTTGCCAAGATGCTTTTCTGTTAAGATTAGCTTTTCTGAGATTGATTTTTCTAAGATAAATTTCAAATTCTAATTTAAAAAAATTTTGAGTTTGGAAATCTCTTTGCGCTTCAATAACAATTAACGCATCCTAAATTCAAATCGATATATTAATATTTGCGAAGCAATACTAATTTTTTTTGTGAGTTTTCCTCTTAATTCCACAACAGAAGCAATTTGCGGTGAATATTTTTAATTAAAATTATTTTAATATTAATATACTATTTTATTATACATTATTATATATAAATTTTATACATTATTATAATATTAGTAATTTAACAAATTTTCTATTGGTTATTTTTTTATACAAAGATTATCTTCCTACAAAGATTGAGAAACTTTATTACAAATATCAAATTATTTGTTCTTACTAAAATATAACACTCGAAATTTTCCAAATTAAATATAAATAAATTAAATAAAAATATATCTTAACAAAGAAATCATTTTTATTTGCCATATAATTAATGCTGGATGCTTCTTATTTTTAATAAAGTTTTTCTTTTTGTTTAAAAAACAATATTTTAAATTTATTTTACAAAATATAAGAATTAGAAGAAATGTTTGTTTTTATAATATTAATATTATATTATTATATCATATATATCTCTTTAAATCAAACAATTTTTATAAAACTTTTCTATAATTTCAATCATTAAATTCAATCGTATTCCATTTTTTCCTATTAAATGAAATTAATTTTTATAAATTTGCAAAATATAATATTTTTTATAATTTACTTTGTTGATGAAATCAGAATAAAATTTTAAAAATATTAGGTGCATTTATATCAATAATCAAAAATTTTTTATATTTCAAGAAGACATAGACTGCTTCCATATATTTGTATTTAAAAAATTTGATTATAAATTTTTAAAAAATTTATATACAACATAAACATTTCATTTAAAAAAGAAATATAATTAATATTTTAATTAATCTTTTCAATTTATGCTTTTCAAACTATAAAATATAGATATAACATTATGCAAATATTTACATAAATTTTGATTATTAAATATTTTCAAGAATTGAGATTTTAAAAATATTTTTAATAATATTTTTAAAAATATTTATAATTTCATTTACCAGATGATATGATATTATAATTAAGAAATGAAACTAAAGTAAATAATTTTTTAATGAAAAATTATATAATAAATTTATAAGTTAGATATTTAATAAAAATAAAAAATTTCTTAATGATTTCATTAATATTATAATTATTATAATCTTAATTTTGATAAAAATTCGATAATTAAGAATAACTTACAAAGAAAAAAAATATAAAAATTTAACAGATATATTCTTTCATAACATTCATTCCACGAAAATTAAAATATTAATTTTTATAATTTTTATATATATGAATTTAATGATTGAAATTATAGAAAAGTTTTATAAAAATTGTTTGATTTAAAGAGATATATATGATATAATAATATAATATTAATATTATAAAAACAAACATTTCTTCTAATTCTTGATATTTAATATCAAATTATACGAAAGATAAAAAAATCTAAAAAAGATTAAATAATTAAAAATATTCCTCTGCCATAAAAACAGTTGATCAAGAAAAAATTTCATAAATCATTGCATATTCAAAAATAATTTCGAAAATGCAATTCAGTCTACTATCAACCCATTAATAGTTACATCATAAAATATCACATTCGAGTGCCAAACTTTTTTTTTTGAAAATGAAAAATTATTGGAATTATTATTAATATAAAATTTCATATAGAATACAAACAATCGTTTTGCGTATATTAATCCATTTCGAAAGGAAAATGATTGACCCTTTTATGGCTTGTAAAATGAAAAACTAAATTGAAACCCATTTTAAGAAGAAAGAGAAAAAAAAAAGAGAGAAAAAAACAAAAAAGAAGGATTTGCGTAATGCGATATTTTAAAAAGCATAATAAATTAACATATAAATACATATAAGAAACTTGCTAAGATCGATTAAAAAGACCGAGAGAGAAAAAATGCAGAAAGAAAAAAAAGTGGAACGATCCTGAAAAATGAATGGGAAAGACGATGCAAATGAATTGTTGGAAGTATCAAGTGAGATTTCGAATGAAAAGAAGACCAAAAAAATGTCAAATAAGATTAGTGATGGTGAGGAAGCTTCGAATATATGAAGTGCAGATATGTGGCGCTAACAGCGGGCGCGGGTTGGAGGTAGGGAGATCGGCAGATACGAACAGTGGATAGCGAACAGTGGTTTAGTTTGCTTTCGTAAGTCCTTGTGGAAGGTTCGTGTTAGTACTCTATGTGGATCGTTTCAACACATATTGTTTCTCTGCCTTTCAATATAATTCGATACAATCAAAATCAGTTTCCCATTTCCAAATGTAACGAATATATAGAATTAAAATAATAGAATTAACTATATGCCAATGTGTGAATGTGATTGTGAAACAGAGATCAGTTAGTGATGAAAGTTAATGCATTCTATCGTGTATAAAGTGTCAAATGCCAGCAGACAATGATGATACGAAATTGGATTCTTTACAGTTTATTTCTGCTGGGATATGTTCAAGGTTAGTGTATCGTTTTTATTTATCGGACAGATATATATATCACATTATTAATTCATCATTTTTAAACAAAAATTATTGTCGCAAATTGTTCGATTCGCTTTTCACTAGATAAAGTTTAACAGATTTGATCTTAATTTAATGACAGTGACATTTTGAATTCATTATATCAATATTTAAAGTTTCATCAATTAAAGATATATACATACACAATATAACGATATTCATACACAATAATATAACGACATTTTATTTATACTTTATAATTTTGCAATAATAATAAAGCACCATGCAAATAAAATTGCACGATAAGAAATTGTTTCAAGCTACATAAATTTTTGCGAGATCTCATAATCCTCTCATGATCAATGTTTTTTTTTATTTATATATACACGCGACCATGTGCGTTATCTCATTGAGCTTTTGACACTATCACACAAACGAAGTAGCACTATTTCTCTTTCTATTTGTTTTTCGTGATAATTGACGTTGAGATAGATTGCACGTTTCCCTATTTTGCATCCGTAAACAAGTTTAAAATTTTCGAATAGTTTGAACATTTACAAACTACTTTATAATAGAATATATGAAGGAAAAATTTTGATATTTTATGATGAAGATCATATTTTTCGTATATATTTTATCAAACTTTTATTACATCGATTTTCGAAATTATTTTAAGTAAATTAATATTTCATTGCTCTAATTACTTCTTTTTATTCATCACATTATAACATCGCTTTCGATTTGTTATGAAAATAATAATGTTGACATGATTAACGCGTCCTTATTTTATGAGAAGAGGCTAATTTAATAGGTTTTGAAAATAAAATAATATCAAAAAAAAAAAAAGTACATAGCATAACAAATTTTTATTTCGTTTTATTTTTGCTTTATGTTTCAATATTTTGGAATGGATAGGATTTGCTTTGTGTAAATTGTGCTTTGTGTTGTTTGTGTATTTGGATAGATAATAATAATTAAGTTATTAAATTAATTTTCAGATCTTTCTTTTTTTCATTTTTTACTTGTGATCATATAAAAATATTCAATTTTGACTTTTTTTCCTTTCTTTGGCAAAAGAAATTATATCGACATACATTGAACATTCAACTTTGAAATTGATTTTCTAATTAGAGAAAAAAGTAGCCATAATGAATTCATTAATCCTGTTGAATTAAACTGTGTGGTATTAAAAAAATATTGACATAAAAACTGTGCATTAATTTGAAATTTTTTTCTATAATTATCCATTTTTTATACTTCATTTATGATTAAGAATTGGATCGGAATAAATTCAAAGAAAATTTTTCGGAATTCGTAAATTTCTTTTATTTTTTGTTTGTCTTTTATTATTTGTTGTTTCACGCAAAGAATGGAATACGTACAAAAAAAAATGATTTTTTTTATTACGCCAATCTATTTATATATTTTTTAAACAGAATAGTGATAGAAAAATATTTTGAATAATTACGAAATTCTATTTTATCATTATAGAATAATCGATGCAGATTCTTCTTTTTCTTAATTCTTATTATCCAAATTTTGTTCTTTTCCTTCTCTCTACGACCATAATTTAATCTTATCAATGAATGATACAAAGTGTGTAAAAAAGAAGCGCCGTTTATATTTTATTCTAAAAATCATTTTTCTTTATGTACTGTTTTTATATTCACCGCATACCTCGTGTTAATCAATATGATTGTTTAAGAAAACTGTTTCGTGTGTTTTACACCGAGCATAGTTTTAAAATGATTTTTTTTTAAATGATACATGTATATTTAAATTGTGTTTAATTTTATTAAATTATTAAAGGATAATGTCGTTACATATATTTCTATATTTATTGTTAATTGTTAAAATTTCTTCTTATAGAATTTTTAAGAAATATTTGGGAATATAATTATTTGGATTTTTAAATTTCAGATTATTTTTTTTCGAAAATTTATAAGAGCAAATATTTATTTATTTATGCACTTTTTATTTTATGTTGATTTCTATGATGTTTAAAATATACTGTATATGTATACTTTTTTTTTTTTTATATTATTTTGAATTTTTGCAAGTATATTTTAAAAACAAAATGATTGAAATGATATGAAATTAATCTCTTTCCAGGAAAAATATTTTCATGATATTAATAATCATATATCAAATCTCATCATTAATGTAATAAACGATTTCTTAAAATATCATTTTATTTTTTTATATTTTATTTTTTTTTTTTATTTGTGACAATTGAAATTTTGATTTTAATTCAGAATTTTCTACAAAATGAAAATTGGATAGAAGATAATGGGAAATATTGGGATTATAATTGCATTATAAATTTAAGAAAGCAAAATGAGATATCGCAGAAAGTATTATATTCGTATATTTAATCTATAAGATCAAAAGATGTTTAAAAAAATCTATAAGATCAAAATGATTTCCTATGAATAAACTAAAGAATTAAATTTTAATAAAATCATGAATAAATCAAGAAATAATAGATGAATATTAATAATAATAGATATAAATTTTTGAGAGAGTAATAAAAATTGGATTTGAATGAAAAATTTATTTTTCAACGTGATTCAATAATTTAATAATGATCCAAAGGATATTAATTTAAAAAAAATTATGAGACTATGAGATATTAATTTTAAGAAAATTATGAGACTCTTGATAATTAATATTATATCATAACATAATAATAAATTACAAGTAATAGATTCAGATTTAAACTTATACTTTATAAATTTTTTGAAAAATAAAATTGAGAAATTTATTGGATTTTATTGGATTTTAACTTGCTACTTGCAGATAAACAAAATAACAGAATAATTTTTTTTAATTAATTTAAAAACTGCTTCTAAAAATATTCTAAAAATATTATTAATGCAAAATTTCAACAAAAAATAATAATATTAACTATTAACTTTAAATTATTTATAATGTTTATTTATTTTTCTTAATTTATTCTTCAAATTTAATCTAGTTATTCTTTTTATATAATCGTTAATATTAAAATTTATTAATAAATAATTTAATAATTAATGATTTGTATTATAAATTATACATAGAAAATAAAACTTAAACATATAATAATAATATAATTTTAATTAAATTTCATTAACAATTATTTTCATTATTTGTCTTCTTTTGTTTATAATTATATATTTATATGATTTCGAAATAGTTTCGAAATTTACATTGAGATAAAGTAAGATTGATATAAATTGATTGAGATAAATTAATGTCTTAAAGAATTTATTTCATAATATTCGTTCTACAAAAAATTCGTGTATGTAGATAATAAAATTAATTTAAAATATTCTTTATCTATTAATTTAAAATAAAATAATATTAAATTAATGATATAAAAAATTAATAATATATTTTAAAAGAAACTTTTAAAATAACTTTTAAAAACTTTTAGAAACTTTTAAAATAGATTAAAATAGATAAAATAGATTTCAATCTAATTTATAAAATTTATTTTAGTTATTAATCTACTCAATAAAAAAGTTAATTAAAGCTAACAATAGTATAACAAATTGATAAGGAATAAAATTATTGTGTATGCATTATATAAATAATTTTTGCAATTTTATTTTAGAAAAACATTTTCAATTACTTATGATGATTTAATATAATGATTTTTTGTAAATTTTTAAAAATGAATATTTTTTGATTTTAAAACTTTCTTTACATTCGATGATTATTTATCTTAATTTATAAAAATTTAAAATAAAAATTTCTTTGAAAAATATTTTTTTTAATAAATGTTATTTTTAATTTCTATTTTAAAATATATTCTTAAAAGTCGTAAAATATATTGTGTGTATTATAGTAAATAATAAATAATGAATCCTATTTAAAAAGAAATACCTTATATTCACGCAAACTGTATAAAACTTCTCATTATAAAATTCTTAATAAAAATATACGTGTCATTGTTTCAACAATAAGATTTTTTAAAATTGCAAATTCCAAAAAAATATTGTATTATTTCTTTCGAGTGCGCTAAAAACTCATTAAATGTGTTATAAAATAAAATTTAACACAATAACGCGAATGTACAAACAAGTTTTTGTTTCATGTCCTATGAAACTATGTTATTTCGTTTAAATAATTTTTGTGCATCATTAATCACAGCCCTATGTTCTTCGTTTCATTAAATTTTATTCCATGTAATCGATTTCAACTAACTAAAGTGTGAAACTGAAAGTCTTCTTTCGAAGCATTATAATAATTATTTTTATTGTTTGTCTATCTTTTTTTTATTTCTTTCTATTTTTTGTTTCAAAATACATCCTTTTATTTACGCAGGTTTTTCTACATAATTTTTTTTTTAAAATAAAAAAGAACAACATCAAAATCTTAAAATCTATTAGTTATGAAAAGAGAAAACTGACATAGTTATCAAAAATGCTAATAAAAAATTTAAAATATTATAAATCTTATTTATTATTATTATCTATATTGTAGATATACCTAAAATAATTAACTTTCTCTTTTTAATTAGTATAAAGTCAATATATTTTCTTCTTCAATGTATTTTCAATGTATTTGAAAATACTATTTCAGTTACTTATATTTTCTAAATCTCATCCTTTACTAAGTTTTATTAAGTTTTCGTGATATTCATATTTTTAATCACGGCTTAACAATCATTTTTTAAATATTTCAGTGATAATTGACTATAGTCAACAAATAATAAATTTTCGTATTTCATTTAATTACTCTTAATTAATTTTTTCATACAAAGATTAATCATCAAAGAAAAAAGAAAATCATATAAAATGGATTTAACTTCATCGTTATTTGATTAAAAAGTTGTCCCATTTTAGAAAACAATATATTCAAATTCTTTTTATAAGAAAAATATTTTGAATATGAATTAATTAATAATTAATTAAAATTTGCAAGTAATTCTGACATGAATCTATATAATTGTCAAAAATTTCTCTCTATATATTTATATTACATTCATCTAATAACCATAATTCTATTATTAA